TTTATTGTAACCAATCAGTTGCTTTTTTCTTAATTTGTTACATTAGGAATGTCACTTGAGAAACTCAATAATAATTATAAATTTATAATGATATTTTGTTTTCAGATGGATYCTAAAATAAATGAAAATGTGCATGGGATTGATGGAGTTGATTCAGTTGAAGATTCAATAGCAATGGGCTCAAAGCAACAAGATTCTGATGCTACAAACTCGGTAAAAAATCCTCTTGCTCCTCGTAAAATTACTAAGACACAGCCCACTAAGCAAAACAAAAGGTAAGGTTCTAGATTAAAATCAGACATTTGGGACCATTTCACTAAAATGGAGGATAAGGATGAACCTAGGGCTGCATGTAATTATTGTGGTAAAGACTATTCATGTGACAAAAAATCATGGCACTAGTAACATGTAGAGTCATTTGCAACAGCAGTGCATGAAATATCCCTATAGGGTTGATAAAAGGCAAAAGATATTATCTTTTGAGCCTAAAAATGAAGGAGGAGAAGATGGTCTCACTATTGGTAAGCTAAAAGCAATGACTTTTAGTGTTGAGGAAGCTAGAAAGGAGCTTGCCAAAATGATTATACTTGATGAATTGCCTTTTAGGATTGTGGAGGGGGAATGATTTAAGAAATATTCTCAAGCTTTGCAACCTAAATTTACAATCCCATCCTGTATCACAGTTTCTAGAGATTGCATGAAATTTTTTTTTTTGAGGAGAAGATGAAACTGCAAAAAGTGATAAAAAATCAATGTATATATCTTACCACCGATACTTGGTCATCAATCCAAAATTTAAATTATATGTGCTTGACAGCACATTGGATTGATAGTGAATGGAATTTGAACAAAAAAATTTTAAACTTTTGTCAAGTTCCTAATCACAAAGGAGAAACAATCGGTAAGACTATTGAGGATTGCTTGCTAGAATGGGGCATTGATGGAATTTTACAATTACTGTTGATAATGTAAATTCTAATGATGGTGCAATTAGATAATTAAAAAGAAGAACTAGGGATTGGAAAAGCACCATCTTAGAACATGAATTCATGCATTTAAGATGTTCTGCTCATATTGTGAATTTGATAGTGAAAGAAGGATTGGAAAACTTACATGAATCTATTCTCAAAATCCGAAATGTTGTAAGATATGTGAGATCATCTCCATTTAGGTTTCAAACTTTCAAAATGTGTGTTGAGAAGGAAAAAATAGAAAATAAGAATCTTGTATGCCTTGATGTTGAGACTAGGTGGAATTCTACCTATTTGATGTTGGAGGTTGCTGAAAAATTTGAAAGAACTTTTAACTGGCTAGGTGAGGATGACTCAAGATATTTCTTATACTTTGAAGGCAATGATGAGGATGAAAATGAGGAGAGTGGAGGCGGGAATAAGAGAGGAAAAGGGAGAGGGAATAAGTATGTCGGGCCTCCTAATTATGATGATTGGGACAATGCCAGATGTTTTGTGAAGTTTCTAAAGCTTTTCTATAATGTAATATTGCGAATTTCATGATCTCTTTATGTCACATCGAATGCATTTTTTCATGAACTTGTGGCATTGCAAACTAGGTTGGTTCGTTTATGTAGAAGTGGAGACAATTTCTTGAGTTCTATGGCAGAGCGCATGAAACGGAAGTTTGATAAATATTGGGAGAACCTTGAAAATCTGAATTTCTTATTATATGTGGCCATTGTTTTGGATCCTTGTTACAAATTAAAATATGTAAAATTTTGTTTTGGTCAAATATATGATAATTTGAGGGCTAGAGAAATGACTGAGAGAGTAGAGGAAACTCTTAATCGTTTATATTACTATTATCATGATCATAAATGCAATTCAAATTTTAATGTTGGACATGAAGCACCAAGTTTAAGTAAAGCTTCTAGTGAGATGGATTTCGATGACAATGAAGATGATACATTGAAGTTCTTAACATCTCAATTTGCAAAACACTTAGAAAGTGTAGAAAGTAAATCTGAGGTTGCAAGGTATTTGTTAGAGAGTTGTGAAAAGCCAAGTGATTCATTTGACATTTTGATTTGGTGAAAAATGAATTGTCAAAAGTATCATATACTTTATCAAATAACAAGAGATGTCTTAGCCATGCCAATTTCTACAGTTGCTTTTGAATCGGCATTCAGCACAAGTGGGCGTTTAGTTGATCCATTTAGGAGTTCACTCCAAAAATGGTGGAGGCTCTTATATGCGGCCAAGATTGGTTACGGTCCAAACCAATCCCAATTGATATTCGAGAAGCTATAGATGAAGTGGAAAAATATGAAGAAATTGCATTAGGTAATATTTGTTATCTTGTGAATAAACTTTATTTCATGATATTGTTTATAACTTATATAATTTTTTGGGTTACATACTAATATTTGTTTTAGAATTATCAGGAACAATAGAACAAGTGTAATTAAGTGGTGATGATTGGTGTTTTCACTTTTTTGGTAAGACTTAATAATCTTTACAAATGTAATTATTTTTTTTACAATTTACAATTTTATTTTCCAAGTAATGTGGCAATCTAAAACAAACATTTCTTGTTTGTTTTTTGACAGTTGAGTCATTAACATGGCCGCATTTCTTCTTCAAACATGAAGTTCCAACTTCCAAAGCCCATTAGGCCACCTTTTTGAATGGTTGCAACTTGCAAGCAACTTTGGATTAGTGATTAATGAACAACTTTTGTGATTAACTTTTCATTTAAATTTTATCATAGGAGATGGCTGAAATGATGTTCAATTTATGATTGTTTTTATTTCTTACTTGACACTTGTTTTTACATGAAGAATTTATTGATTTTATTCTTTACTTGAATTAAATTTAGATTTATCTTGAACTCTTGAATATCAAATTATCAACTAATTCAGATTTTATTTGGCTTTGTACAGGAGCAAAACCGACCAAACTGACCCAAACCGACCCAACCCGACTCAAACCGACCAGGTCAGTTTGGCCTGTCAGTGGGTCAGTTTCGGTTCCCACCTTAGCTAACCCGACCAGGTCGGGTCGGTTGGGAAAATCCCAATAAATCAACCCAACCCGACCCGTGAACACCCCTAGTTACAAAATAGCCAAAAACAGAGAATCCCTTATCTTCCCAAAATCTTGACTTACTAACCTATGAGTGATCACTTCTAGTCCAACCCGCACTCTATCTATTTGTCTATGTAATATATTATTACAAATAATATAGATGACTTATTAATACATACATATATATATATATTATATAGGCCTAAAGCCTAGCCCAAGCCAGTCTGGCCCATGTGAATCCGATATTGATATAGAAACTAAACCATTTTGAATCTCCATATTTGGCAATCACCGTTCTCTCAGAAAGAGCATATTCTTCCCATGACATCTCCAAAGCCATTTATTAAAAGGTGATTTATTCACTAGAACCATCTTTCCCAAATCCAATCCTCCCAATAACAGGGGACAGTTAACCAACTTCCATTTTACCAAGAAAAATTTGTACAGCTGTCAACCCTTACATTCCAAAGGAAGTAACCATCTGAATTTGTTCCAACTTCCAACCTCTAACCACTTGGCTCCATTTGGTTTGCAAGAGGGTGATAACAAACAGAACTTTGGAGACCATTGACTTCCCTCTAGATGTCTAAAATGCTGTTAATAAAAGCCCCATGATGTTTAACATAAAGAAAAGCATTAGTTAAAGGAAATTAAGAATTCAAAAAATCTTTCATGGAAGCAATAAATAGAACTTCCTTAGAGTCAAACTCATTTGCTACAAGATCACAATAACTTATCAACTAATGTATTTTTTGACTGTTACTTATCAACAAATGTCTAAATCTCTTGCAAAACCTCCAAACCATTTACAATCCTCCTAAAATAGGATACCCCGTCATTTCATTGTATCAAGTTAATAATATTGGTTTTAATTTCTCCCTCTTCTAAGCACGCTTTTAATTAATTAAATTATCATTCTTTGGGTCATTGTCACCATGCAAGAAATTTATTTGAAATCACTCCAACTTCCCTAGTAAAAAAAATGGGATTTCGATACTAGATGATCAATGACAACACCAATGAAGGAATGATTTGGTGCAAGTAAAAAAAAAAAATGCTCTAAAGAAAGCATGGGAAATCCCTTTTACCATGGCCAACCTTAAGGGGCAGGATTTCCCTAGTAGGGTCTCAGAATTCAACAGATCCCCAGCCTCATGATCAGATAATTAGGAGACTTGTTCACAGGTTAAGAACCGAACTCATTTTCGGTAAGGAGCAAATTGGAAAATATAATGTGAAGATTAAGAGATGAGAAAGACCTTCTTCCATCAGGATTGAATGCCAAAGCATTTATTGGTCCAAAATGCCCTTTCACGCCCCCAATTTCTTCTTGAAGGATCTATCCAGAGACAAATATAAGTCCCCAAACATCACGGATCAAAAATTTTCTACAAAAAATAGACATAAAGAAAAGAGAGCTCACCTTGTGAAAGAATTTGGCCTCAAATTACCCAGCACGACGATCAGTAGTTGTGACATGTGATGCTTCTTGACCACCTTCAATTACCACCTGGAAAATGTATTATGTGTTGTCTTTAAGTAGATTAAGGGACAAAAGCAACATCCAAATACAAAAGCAAAAGCATCATCCAATATTTTGCAAAGACATTAACCATAGATGCTCTGAAAGCTCCCCATACGATGTAGGTATATATATACACCAATGTAGAAGAGCAAGTAGCCCAAAAAGAAGGTCAGAACAAGAAAAAGAGACATCATTCTTGGCTTGAGATAAATTATGCAGCGGGAAAATTGCAAATTCAAACTAGTAATGAGAGAGAGAGAGAGTGAGAGAGAATTTGTATATCAATAGCTTACAGTACCATTGCCTTAGTAAAAGATAGCATTTGTTTACCTTGATACCCAACTTTTTCCTCAATATGTCCTTTAAGCAAGCTGACCTTACTTTTACAGTGGCACCTTACATGTCCAATATTTTCCTCATATCACTTTATTTCACTCATTGATTTCAAAGCATTGCTCAAGTTTCAATGCATATTTTGGGACTCACCTTAAAATAGGTTTAGGGTGAGGAGATGAAGTGGTATCTTGTTATGGTCATTGTAGATTGTCAAGGGTTTCAAATACTTAGTTTCATATGGTGGCAATTTTTTACTGCAATACCTAACATGCCTAAGATGTTCTCATTATATCATTTTAGCTGGTTGACCTTACTTTTTCTTGTTCAAGTTTCAAAATTGATTTCAAAGTATTGCCTAAGTACCGATGCATATTTTGTTTTTTGTTTTTTTTTTTTCAATACATGGAACAAGTATTTTGGTTAAAACTGCATGCTGTCTGTCTGTGGGTCTGGCCTAGTTTGTCTTTTTGTTTTTAAACTTTCAGTCACAACTTAAAGTTATTTCTTTTTATTTTTTGGGTTGTTGGAGGGTGATGGCAGAACCATAAATTTAAGTTTTTTTTAATTTAGGAAGGAGATTGGTAGACCCTAAAGAATATATACATGTACTGTGTAAAAACATGGCTATGAAAATGCGAATGATATTGGAATGAAGTTTTATGCCTATAGAAGCCTTTTATCTTCTATCTAATTCTACAAGAAATCATTACAACCATCAACATCCCTCAAATTCTCCATCAAGGAGTTCACTCAACATATATAAAGGACTGAAACTACTCCAAGTATGTTTTTTCTCTAGTTTCCACAAAACTTCCCATTTCGATAGTTATCACCTTAATTCTACTATCCCTGTTTATTTTCATGCTTGAACTCTCCCAATAGATATTTGTCACCTTAATTCTACCAAAATCCATCTCTTATCAGTAAGCTCCACCTAAAACTCTTTTTTTTTTGTTTAAATTGGCAGTTTCTTTTGCAAAGTTTTTTCCCATTCGTCGAAATTTTGCCCAAGATATTTTTGAGAGAGAAAATTTTGCCTTCATAAAAAATCTCTACATACAAATTTTATAGTGACTATAAAATTTTAATGAAAAATAAGAAGGTAGATATGGGTTACAAGATATCACTATAAGCAGAACCTCACCACTGGCCAACCTTCAAATTCCCAAAACCACACACGGCCCTTAAAAAACCGGGACAGAATAAAAACAAACAATCCTGCACCAGGCCCTAACAACACAGCATGGTTGAAAGTATCTATACGCCTCTGTGCATCCGCAGAGGCGTATCAATACACTTAGATACAAGGGCAAATGGCTTTTTTTTTTTTTTTTAAATTTGGTTTTGGGGAAGATATTTTAATATATTTTTTATTAAAAAAAGAGTGGGGTCCTGAAATACCTATAAACAGGCGTTTCGGACCCCAAAAGATACAATGCAATACGCCCGATACGGGATGCATCGTATCGATACTTTGAACCTTGCAACACAGGCCGCAAAGGAACAACCATCACCAGCCAACCCAAGAGAAAGGAAGATTGATCCCTCAGCACCTATCCCCTAACACAACCCAAGAGAATGGGAGGATTGGCGGAGCCCTTGTTTTTTTTTTAACTGAAATCAGAAAAGAGAAAGAAAAAGAAGAAGAATAAGAATAGAATAACTTATCAACTTACCTGCTCGATCTAAGGTGTGATGGAGCTGGGCTGGGGCTCGAGCTTGGAGTGTTTGGTTCTCTTCCCTCTCCAATTGAACCAAAACCCTTATGACATAAAGAAAAGAAAATGGAGAATAGTTTAGTTGTATACTTGTCTTAGTACTAAAAGGATACAATGTAACTGATTTATTTTAAAAGACTGCAACAACCAATAATAATATCAAAATAATAAATTTTAAACAAAATAATAATTTTTTTAGATGTGTGTAGCGACCCACCTTGCATTGTAAGTGCCTAGGCGCCTTCTTAAGTCTCTGGGCGAGCGCCTAGTGTGCAAAACATGTAGCGTTTGAGTGAGGTGACCATGAAAAACCGCCTAATCGCCTTGACAACTATGATTTCAAGATTGACCTTTGGATTTAGAACTCTCCATTACAAGACTTAAAAAGGTAGTAGAGGCATGTTCTGTTGTTGAGTTCTTCCAGGACTATATTTCACTCATTCCATTTCTTGCTAAAAGAGTTAATATTAATACTGAGAGGCATTGACATATATTTCGCTCCTTTCAAGGGGGTGTTGGAATGCATTTTGTTGATAGGAGAATTAGGACAATATTAGAGGAGAGGTTTTTAGGAATTTATCTGTTGACATGGTTTTCTTTATATGTTAAATAGTTAATCCAACAAAACATAAGTTAGAGGGGTGGTCATGCGTTTTGGGTCTTTGGTTAGGGATGGCAATTTCTACCATACTCAATGGATACCCACCATGTTGGGGTGTTATTTTTTTGCTTGAAGGATGCGTTTTTGGGGCGGGGGACCAATTTTGGGATTCTTAGGATACCACATCAGGCTAAAACCAACCTTCCTCTACCCACATACTGATGGAAAGCATATAAACTTTATACATTAGGTGTGTAATGTAACAATATTTTGAATTTTATGTGAAGGACAATTGATAGTTTATGTGTTTTACATGTTTTAATCAAATAATTGGAAATTTTATTGCTTGTTTGCATTATTTTACTTATTTATTGCTCATATATAATAAGAAATAATAGGTAATTAGATGCAGGTTTTAAGCCCAACTCACTCTACCCTTGAATGCGGGAAGAGTTTTATATTTTCATATGCTAAGTCCAACCTACCATAGGTTTTGGGGCGGGTATGGGTAGGAAGCTTTAGGGAAGCAGGTAGGGCCTTGAATTTACAAACCCCTCCCCACCCCCTAACCCCCCCAATTGCCATCTCTACATCTGCTAGGGCTGATCCATGGGTTGGGCCCAAGTTGGGCTTTGCACCCACGATACAAGGTTGTAGCCTAGGCCTGGGCTTAGCCTATCTTTTTCGAGCATGGAACAAGAGCCCGAGCCTGTGCCTACATGGGTCAGGCTTGATTCCTACACCTATACCTTTTGTGTGTAGAATTTTTTGTGTATAATATTTAGGAAAATGCCACATGATTGATTAATTAATACATTTATAATATCGATTGATTGGTCACAATTTTTTTAGATATCATATCATTGGCCGGGGCTGGACTTGAAGTGCTAGGTCCAGCCCTGCCCTGAAATTTATGAGCTTGATGTAGGTTTTGGCCTACCAGACCTGCACACAAAACCTAGGTCCAAGCCCATAATTTCCGGGTGTGACTGAAAATGATCACCCCTTGCCCTTGGGCCGTTGAGGGGGCGAGCTGCTTGTTTGCGTTACCTGTTGGGACTTCAGAAGAATGAACATGGCCTAGTCAGATGGTTTGCCAACTGATGGACCGTTTGGATCGGTAAAATCCAAATTGATGCACTCAAGATTCAAGATCCACGGTTATTAACCAAAGACCCCAAGCAGGGACCGCTACAATCCTGCTGCCGCGTCCTTTTGTCCCACAGAACCCTAGAACGGAATTTGAAAAACCCTGATAACATCAATATTGGTATTGGCAGCAGAAGCAGAATTGCAGGAAGAAGAAGATGCCTCTAACAGAATATAACGTAGAAGAAGCTGAAGAATCTACTTTACCAAATGAAGACGAAGGCGAAGAGCTTTCATGGTCGTCGGATTCTGATATAGCAGATGCTCTGGATTGGCTGGACACGAAGGACGATAACGAAACCATTGATGGAGCCTTTTCTCTCTCATCGAGGCGTCCGAACGCTCATGGCGGGCTTCTCTCTCGTCCTTCCTCATCTCCTCTTCAACCTCTATCTAATCGCAGCCAGAAGTTTTTCAATCACATTCGAGCAGCACCCTTGGAGGTATGCCCGCTTCTTCTTACCTGTTTTGTATAGAGCTTCGTGTTTTGAGCTTTAGTACGGTCATTGGATCTGGCAGTCTTGTTAGGAAGACTCGATAGCCCGAGGATGGGTTATTTGGTAGTAGTTATTAACTATTACAGGCCTGAGCATGACCGAGAATTTAATTTTGTGTATGCCAATTGTTGATTTTCCGTTTTATCCGTGTGACTAGATGATCATTGCATTAGTTGGTACTTGGTAGACTAAAAAACTCTTCTTGGTTGCTTTATTTGTAGAATTTTAATAAGACAAAAAATTCATTTTTTAACCAATGGAACAAAAAAATCTGGGAATGTAGCTGTTGCATTGGCTCAGTTGATAATGCCAGTTTAGGGCTATAAACATGTAGACTGGACTACTCTAGTCAGAGTGGAACTGACTTCCTTTTGATCTTCCTTTTCTTTTATTTTTTGACAATTACCCGATATTTGAATTGTTAACTTCGTTTCCTTTCCTAGTATTACAGTGCTGGTTTTCTTTTTTATATTTTATTTCATGTATATTGATTTTGTAGGAGTGGGAAGGAAGAGTGAATGTTGGCATGTCAAACTCTGTAACAACTGCAATTCGCGAAAGCGTTCGAGAGATGGCTATTGGGAAAACAAAAACTACCGAGAAAGCAGACCGTGCCACAGTTGAGCAGGTTCGTATTTATAAAGATTATGAGGTAGTATGGAAGGTAAAAAAAAAACCATTCGTTTCACAACAGTACATACACGATACATCTCCTCCTTGTTGGTGTCTGTTACAGGAGAAATAGTTATATACATATAATGTATTTTTCAGGCCATTGATCCAAGAACTCGCATGGTTCTCTTCAAAATGCTCAATCGTGGAGTATTTCATGATATCAATGGTTGCATATCAACAGGGAAAGAAGTAAGATGATAGTACCCTTGAATTATATGTTATCTAAATTCTTATTGTTTTGTTTATGATTTCCTTCTATGACATAGTAGCCTAGTAGTTTATTTTATTATCATTAACTGCATTTGGATATGCAATAACCATTACATACTACAATTAAAATTTTGGAAAATCCTTCCAATGGCATAAATGCAGCTCTGTTCTCATCCGGCAATCATTTTATTTCTCCCTCAGGCAAATGTTTATCATGCAACAAAAGCTGATGGTCAAGAACTGGCAATCAAAGTATACAAAACTTCTATTCTTGTATTCAAGTAAATCCAACGAAACTTGCGTTTTGCTGTTATGACAGTTGCATTTTACTTTCAGTTATTAATGTATAAATGTTACTTTATTCTTAATCAATTGTTATGCTTCTTCTCCTGTTGGGTGCCATTAAGAAGTTCATGGCTTTGGACTCCTGATTCCTGACAATATATAGAGTAAATGGAACTCTTAATGCAATTGCTTCACTGATAATAATATCTACGAGAATATGTCTATTTGCATGCATAACAATTAATGATTGTGGTTTTTTTAGACAATTAATTGTCAAAAGAGACAAAAAAAGAGGACAATAGGGTTCAGAATCAGTAAACAAATATAGTAATATACATTAGATTTGTTAATCACTATGGTTAAATAAGACATGTTAAATGTAAATTTAGTTCATATTTGTCTTAAGAAAAACTTGGTGGGGTTTCTATAATATTTCTTTTAGGGTGCAATTTTTAGAAGGCAAAAGGCTGCAATCATGTTATGAGTCAAAACTCCATAGAACATTCAGCCACGACAAATTCTTTTTTCCTTAATATTGTCTATGCAGCTTTTATTGAATTGTAAACTTGTTTTGTTATATTTAACATTAGCTAAGCATATTTTTCCTTTCACCTTCCCCCTCCCCCCAAATTTGGTGTTCTTTATTCACAGCAGGGCATTAATATTGAATGAGTTTTGTTGGATGCAAAAAACAGTTTGGGCATTTAGGTTCCATTTTTATCTTTCTTATCCACTATATTTTTATGATTCAAGCTCCAACTAGCTGATGAGTGCCCAAATATCTTATCCATGTACATTGTATAAATGATGTAATTCAGATTTTGCTTTACTTTACCACTCCAGAGACAGGGATCGGTATGTTCAAGGAGATTATCGTTTCAGACATGGATACTGCAAGCACAACCCAAGGAAAATGGTGAAAACTTGGGCTGAGAAAGAAATGAGGAACCTTTTGAGGTAATCAAAATGTTATTATCTTTTCATCTAGTATTTGGTGTCTGCATTGTCTTTTGCAAATGTGTACACTTTAAAGGCCATTATCCAATGTTGGTCCCAGCTATCTGCGGTCTTGGGAGGGGAGTACTGGTTATGGACCTAAACCTAATCTTTGACATGTTTCCTTTTCACAAAGTGGCTGCTCTTAAACCCAAACTTTTGTTACTTGTTAGCCTGAGATTTTACAGTTAGACCAAGCAGTATCCCCTACACGTACACTAAATAGTGGTAAAACATTTTCTGTAAAGGTTATATCAATAAAGTAATCTACTAAAAATTTCAACTAATAATTGTTTTAGCAATTGACTAGTTTATGTACTACAGCTAGTTTGTATATTTGGCAAACTGTGTTAGGAGTGTTTAAAATTTTAAGGTAGCATATGCCAATAGCTATATAACTTTCTTTCACATACTTGAAAGGAAAACTTATGCTAAGCCAATTTATCATTATTTTCACTAGTGGAGAAAACACAATTTAACAAGATTTCAAGAAAGCTGATGTAATCAATTGGGTGATTCAACCCAGGCTCAGGTGGTCCATATTTGGGTGACTCCATGTGCGCAATCAATTGGGTTAAACTTTTATGTTGTTCATTGGGGAATCCTGGGTCGTCAAGGATGGGTCAGCAATTGCATAGTCATACTTCCCTGCATAGATCCTGTAGGGATTAGTGATTTGGAGAACCTTTCTTTTTTCCTTTCTTTCTACAAGGGCTATTGTCCTTCACCATGGAATAAGATAGGATCACCATGAGGTGACTCAAGACAATGGTGGGATGGATTAAGGACTGGTCCCAGATTCCCAGATCCTTTGAGTCATGGTTATCAGATGAAAAAAAAAGGTAAAATACAAAAACCTCTCCTCAAGTTTCTGACAATAATAAAAACCTCCCCTTTAGTTTCATTTTAACAAACACCTCCCCTAAACTTTTAAAAAAGTCAACAAAAACCTCCCTTCAATTATGGACCCCGACAGAAAATTATAAAGTGACGAAATTACCCCTATTAATGTCAGAGCGATTTTTGCATTGAATCTTTTGGAATTGCAGATTGACTACACTCATCCACGTGTATGGTCTAAAACTAATACTTATCGACATCAATGGCTCTCCCACCTTCTTCTCCTTCCTATCCGATTTCACAAACTGGGTTACATCAAAACCACAAATTTTTATTATCTCTCACAATCACAATAGCGTTATAATTGTCTCCAATATTTTTACTTAGCCCAAGCATAGGCTCCTCCTCCTCCGATAACCAAATCAACTAATCTTCAACAAGTATCCGCTTCTCTGCAATTGATGAACTCCCACAAATAACAAAGCTCTACGGTTATTCCATGCTATATCGCCTTTCCATTCTTTCAAGTCTCACCATCGGCATGTATCAAAAGAAATGGGTACTGATTAATCTTGATTCACAGTACTCCCTCTTGCTTCTTTATCATGTTTGATGAACTTTTTCTTTCTCCACTTTACTACAGAAGTTCCATCGTGACTTGCCTCCAACGACAGTATTCACGTATGGGACCTCCTAAATGGCCGCTACTGCTCCCGGTCCCACAATCGAGACTCTCCTGAATAACCACCACTGTTCCCGGTCCATGATTAAGACACTCTGAGGAGTACCAACTTATGTGATGTGGCAAAATCATCTCCCTCAAAATCACATACTCCCATGGGATCGAACCGTCCCCACTGCCTTTCCCAAGAACGGTGGCATTCCCACTATCGTCCATCTCCACAGTGGTGTCCACGAGCCACAAAGTGACAGCAGCACCTTTGGTTGGTTCACCTCCATCTTCAGAGACATCAGACCCGCCTTGTCCTAGCAGACTTACACACTTATCCCAACGTCCAACATTCCGGGAACCTCAGGTACCACGATCATGCGCTTGTCTCTGTAATGACAGATGAGCTTCAAGAAAGCATCATTTTCTTCCTGAATTATAGAACAATAAATCGAAGAAATGCCAAGTGGGGAAGCTAAAGAGGAAGAAGGGAAGATAAGTGTGACATCTAATCGCACGATGAGACCAGATTGATATATACTTATGATAAACAAGGGAAGCTTGTCATTTGTAACGTCCTCTATGATATGAGCGACAACAAGGCCACTCATTGCTCCGGTTCCTCTCCTAAACAGAGTTTTCATTCCTTGCAGAATAGCCAAAGAATCCCAAACCCCAGCTTTCGTTGCTGTTCTTGGCCTTGGTAGAGATGCTGCCAATACCCAGGTTAGAATGGGTATTTGAAAAAAAATGATGCATCAACTTAAGGTTTTCCGTCTAAGTTAGTGATGGAAGGGAGGTGTTTGTTGATTTTTTTTTTTTTAATTTCAGGGGAGGTATTTGTTAAAATGAAACTAAAGGGGAGGTTTTTATTATTGTCAGAAATTTCAGGGGAGGTTTTTGTATTTTATCCAAAAAAATTCAATTCTTTGATTTCACACTAAGGCTCTTTCAAATTCTGAGACAAGCCAATTCTGCTGCTAATAGGCTTGCCAGAGGGGGAGCCTTGAGAGGTGCTCTTTTCTCTCTTTTTTTTTTTTCCTTTTCTTTCTGGAAAGGTAGAGATGAACTTTTTAGGTGATTTTATGCCTTGTTTTTCTGTTAAAAAAGTTCTTTATTTGCCTTGCTGAACCGAATGGAGAAGAATTTACAGAACATTGTTCCCATGCATGACATGGAAGTAGTGATGCCAATTGAGGTTTAAATCTCATTACTATATTCTACATATCATTCTTGGATCAGAGATGCCAGAAGTAGAATGGTTCAGGACTAAGACCTTTAACTTCCTCAAACATATCTCAAAAGGAGTGATTTGGTTCCTCTAAGACCTTTAACTTGCAATTAGTATTCAAGTCACTTTTTAGCTAACCTTCCCATTCAAACCTATTTTGTAGTGAAAGGACCAAATCTTGGTTGAGTTCTACTGTTCTAGTAGGTTGCATATGTTCCCAAGGAAATCATAAAAATCAAGCAACCTGCCTAGGTCCAAGCCCAGCCTAATTTTGCTAGAGTTCAGTTTGGGGCTTTGGGCTTTACCTTTGGGTTGTTTGGGCCTCAGGCTGGGGCCTAAATTTTAGGGTTGGGTAATTGGGCCTAAACCCAGCTTGGTCCACCGCCCACCTATGTTGTAATCCATATTTGAAGCAATCTTGCCTTCCAATTATATATGAAGAACATTCTTATGGTTTGATGTTTTGAAATGTAATGCTCTGTACTGCAGGTTAAAGGCAGCAGGAATTAGGTGTCCAACTCCATGCCTTTTGAGGCTTCATGTTTTGGTCATGGAATTTATAGGTATGGGTTTGTTTTTCACCTTCCCTATCCACATTTTTTGACTGATTCCACTATCCCTTTTTCTTTGGAGGTTACTTCTTTCTTTCTTTTTTTTTCCTTTCAGGAATGTCTTTGACGCATATCTAAGTTTATAAAATTAGTTTGTTTATTTTCTACTTTCTATTATCTAGATATATAGGATCAAGGGTCCCATGATGGGAATAAAAGTCACTATGTATATTCTAAATGCTTTCAAAAAGTGATAGCAACATGTGCAGAGGTTGGGAGGTAGCATTAGTTGCTTCCCTTATGGAGTTCCACATCTCCTCCAAAACACAATACAAAGAAAGAAAAAGCAAAATAATAAAAAAAAAGGATTATGAAATTATGAATGAAGGATATATGATATGTAAGTTTAATATTACTAATAGGAGTATAAATCATGGTGCACTCGGGATTTTATACCAGGAGATAATTCAATGTGACCTTTTCCGATACCATGGTTCAATAATTCATAACAAAGGAGAGATTGAGGATGTTACCCATAGAATTAGAGAAGGATGGGCAAAATGGAGAGGTGCATCTGGAGTCTAATGTGATAAGCAAATATCACTTAAACATAAAAGTTGTAAGGCCAATTATATTGTATAGAGTGTTGGGCAGTTAAGAAACAGCATGCCTGAAAAATGAGTGGCAGAAATGAGAATGCTTAGATGGACGAGTGGTAAAACAAGAAAGGACAGTTAAAAATGAAGTCATACAAATTAACCTAGGAGTAGCTCCAGTAGGTTATAAAGTGAGAGAAAGTTGATTGAGATGATTTGTTCACAGGCATAGAAGACCACCTACAACACCTGTTAGAAAAAGTGATCTGTTACAAGTTGAAGGTGCTAAAGGGCTAGGGAGATACCAAAAGGGACATGGATCCATGTAGTAAGATATGGTTTAAGTGCTCACAATTTAACAATGGATATACCATTAAACAGAACTGATTAGATTGTCTACTTAAGCTGATATTCTGATTTACCACATTGTCATCAGTAATCCATGTTAGATCACTGTAATAGTCTAGTCAGAATGAATTATGAACAACCACCAAATGGTTGGTCATGATTCTAGCACGTGCTTCAAACATTCTAGCACTCTTTGTAGGCTATAATTACCTGACTTATACTCAATAGCCAAGATTTTGCAATAACTAGAACCGTAGTAGCTTTCTCATTGCTCCATGTAAAATCTTCTTTTCTGTCTTTCCATATTTCTTGGAATGGTGTAGGATTTAAAATTGGTACTTCCACATCAGATTTATCCCGATAATTCTGTATTTTTATGCCATACAGGAAAAGCAGGCTGGGCTGCACCTCGTCTCAAGGATGCTGCTTTATCTCAAGACAAAATACGTGAAGGTTATGTTGAGGTGTGTTCTTTCATATTGCTTGGATAATGCTGATAGTTACAAAAAAGAGAAAGAGATGCATTGGTCCATTTTTGCTGCTAATTCAACTCTACTCAATTAAGCTTTATCTTAACTATTTTGGGTTGACTACATGTGTCCTACTCCATCATTCCACTGCATCCAGAACTATTTGTTCTTATATATGTCTTGTAGAATTTTGTTTCTATCTGAATTATTTTGGCAGATTGCTGAACACCCTAAAAGTGTACTCTTATTCTTGCTAAAATTTTACTTAAACGTATTCGTGGTACTAATTACCTTTTAATTCTAAAGAATTTGTCAAAAGTTCACTTAGAAATTTCTTGTGATCCATCTTTGCACATACACTGATACACATAAAAAATTGCCTCTGCAAATTTTTGTTCTTATATTTTATTTGTTAGTGTCATATTGTTTAAATTTGTACTAAACTGTATCATGACCCTATTTGATCTCAATGTATAACCATAATACACATCAATACAGACTTGATACCTGAGGAGAGCCTTGGAAAGGCCATCACCCAATGCTGCTCCTGTCTATCCTTGGTCATGGGGGGTATGGACTGGATACAGACCTATCTTCTGCCTATTTTGCATGGAGTGACCACTCACTCAAACCTGGAAGTGATATACTTTATACTTGATGAGAGGTCCTGAATGTGCTGATTAGAAAAACATAAAAGGAATAAACTTGAACAGTATTTGTTGAAAACAAAATTCAACTAAATATTTATTTTTCTTTTTTGTTGAACAATCTTAAAAAATAATAAATGGATTAACTACGTAATGTATAAGCTCTCAGAGGTTCATTCAATATCTGCAAGTTTTATAGATTTTTTTTTTCATTTAAATAATTTAGCATTTATGAACATGTATCTTTTTTAAAAAGTTGGTGATTAGAGCAAATCCCATTTTTAATAAAGAGACACACCCCTAGTGAATGGACCAATAGTAATGTTTTGAAAAGATGGGCACCACTATGCACAATACACGTGTACTTCAACTGGGTACTTGTCTTTTTACTAGGGACTTGCTTCGTTTATCAAAATTATTTTGTACCCTAATCAGCATTCTTAAATGAACTCTGTATTTCTGCAATGTTTGCTGCACACATTGTAGTTCTTAATAGAAGTGGGTTGCATTTATGTTTATGTTAAGACCGCTGAAAACAGAACAACAGAAAATAGTTGGTCAGTTTTACAAGAGAAGGCCATGTCAGCACAACTAATCGTCCACTTGCAACATTTGTAAGAGAAAGGAATTAAAGAATGTAAAACAGTATAAATAGTGAAGTACAAGGGAAATAAAGGCATGAATCTTTTGGCACTAACTCTCTCTCTCTCTCTCCCCCTCTCCCTCTTCCTCTCCCTCTTCCTCTTCCTCTTCCCTACCATCGAATGCAGGAGGTTGGCTCCCTCAAAGAGCCCTGAGTTAGGCAGGTTCCTAACAAGTTGGTATCAGAGCTAGCATGATCAACACAAGAACAACATCAGTAGACGCCCGGGTAGATCAGATGGAAGTAGAGATCCATCGAATATCATCAGACCTCAAAGAAATGAAGGAAGGTTTCACCGCTCTCCTCAATCGGCTGGAGCAGGGTCAACGAACAACGACAGAGGAAGCCAAGAGGAGCACAACAATGAAAACAACCGCAAAACAGGGTCGATGGCAATGAGAGCAGCAAAAATCAACTTCCCCATCTTCTTAGGTGGCGACCCGGCTCCCTGGATTCTCAGAGCCAAGCGATATTTTGATTACCATGAGACACCTGGACAAGACAGGGTGGCAATGGCTTTGGCGCATCTTGAGGGGGGAAGCTATCCTATAGTTTCAGTGGTACCGACGGGGACATCCTTGTCAATCTTGGGCAGACTTCACCAATGCCATGACCATTCGTTTTGGATCGTCGGGGTTCGAAGATCACAATGAGAATCTTGCAAAACTGTGGTAGGTGGGATCGATTAAAGATTACTAGATGGAGTTTGAAAAACTGGCCGTGTGAGTCCAAGGGTGGACGGAAAAAAACGCTAGTTGGAAGCTTCGTTGGCGGCTTGAAGGAAGAACTACGACTGGAAGTAAAGGCGATGCAGCCTACTTTGGTCATAAATGCAGCAGCACTAGCAAGATTGTATGAAGACAAGTTCGCTCGAGCAAGAAGGGTACATCGGCCATGGGATCCGGTAACCTAGACAACAACACAAGACAAGGAGGAAGGAATATTGGGTTCAGGCCCATCGGTTCCCTTCAAACGGTTGACCTGGTCCAAAATGCGGGCCTACAGAAACAAAGGACTTTGCTACCACTGTGAAGTGAAATTTGGGTCAGGCCATCGATGCAAGAAACAACAAGCATTTCTCCTTCAAACGGATACCAAAGAGGAAGATGACTTCACTGGTTGCGAGGAATCTGACCCTAGGTGGGAAATATAACCCAATGGGACACCTGAAATATCTCTACAAGCCCTTATGGGACTTGCGTCCCCACAAACAATTAGAGTTGCCGGGTTGATCCAAGGGCGCCATGTGTCAATCCTCATAGATAGTGGCAGTTCCCTTAACTTCATAACTCAAGTCTTGGTGGATAAAATGGGACTCCCGGTTCAACCAACAATGGCTTTTACGGTTCATGTGGCCAACGGTAATAGCCTATCATGCAATAGTATATGCATGGGCTTACCACTAAAGGTTTAGGGTCACCAGTTTTCAATGGACCTATACCCCCTTCATCTTAGTGGAGCGGACGTGATGTTAGGCATTCAGTTGTTAAGTCAATTAGGCCCCGTGATCTGTGACTGGGCTCGTCTCACCATGGACATCACATCGGGGAACTCTACAGTCCATCTACTAGGGCAAACATGCATGGGTCCAAGGCCCATCAGTCTTGCAACATTAACGAAGCAAATGGGAGATCCGGATCAGCCCATATTCATGCACATGGACTCAAGTTGGACCAGCCCATCCTTAGCTAACAGCAGCTCAAATGGGCATGGAGACTTCCAAAGCCACCTACGACAACTCCTCCAACAATATGGCAGCGTGTTCAAAGAACCCCAAGAGCTTCCACCGTGCTGAGAACATGACCATCACATTCCTCTCATGTCAGGAGTCGCCCCAACCAATGTAAAGACCTTACCAATACCCTTACTTTCAAAAATTTGAAATTGAGAAGCAAGTTCAAGATATGCTTGAGGAAGGAATAATACAGCCCAACCACAACCCATTCTCTTCACCGATATTATTTGTCAAAAAGAAGGATGGGACGTGGTGATTTTGTATTGATTATAGGGCCCTTGACAATATCACCATTAAAGACCGATCTCCAATACCGATCATTGATGAACTGCTTGACGAACTTAGTCGAGCCACCATATTCTCAAAATTAGATTTATGAGCTGGGTATCATCAGATAAGGGTACATAGGGAGGATGTTCACAAAACGGCTTTCAGGACACATGATGGCCACTATGAGTTCTTGGTCATGCCATTTGGGTTGACCAACGCTCCAACAACATTTCAAGCCTTAATGAACAACATATTCCGGCTATATTTACATAAATTCATTCTTGTTTTCTTTGATGACATATCGGTCTATAGCCCTAATTGGGAGAAACATCTGAATCATCTACAAGTCACAACACTTAAGGCCCATCAGTTGTTCGCTAAAGAGTCCAAGTGCTCCTTTGGACAAAACCTAGTTTATTACTTGGGACATGTTGTAGAAAACGGAACTGTAGCAGCCGACCCGGATAAAATCTCCAGTATAATAGGCTGGCTGCAACCCAAAAATGTGAAAGAATTGAGGGCCTTCTTGGGCCTGATAGGGTTTTATCGCCGTTTCATAAAAAACTACGACCTAATAGCTGCCCCCTTGACCCAATTACTTAAACGAGATGCCTTTCACTGGTCAACCCTGGCCCAACAAGCTTTTGAGCAGTTGAGACATGCTGTTTCGACACCTCCAACATTAGCACTGCCCGATTTCACAAAAGACTTCATCATTGAATATGATGCCTCCGGTCAAGGTGTTGGGGTTGTCTTCATGCAAGAGGGTCAACCACTAGCCTTTTTCAGCAAGGCCTTAACATCACAAAAGTTGGGCAAATCAGTTTATGAATGAGAATTAATAGCTGTGGTCTTAGCAATTCAACGTTGGCGATCCTACTTGCTCGGTAGATGGTTCATAATTCGGACTGACCATCAAAGTTTGAAGTTCTTATTAGAACAAGTAGTCCTATCACCAGAACAACTACGGTGGATATCCAAACTATTGGGATACAACTACACAATTGAGTACAAAGCAGGAGCTGCTAACCGGGTGGCTGACGCTCTCTCACGACACCCACAATCATTTCAGCTACTAGTATCTTCCCCAACATCTTCACTCATGGATCAGCTTCGAAAAGAAGCCCACTCCCATATGGAGTTACAGCAATTGAAGGCCCAAGTATTGGCAAATCCATCACTGTACCCCGGGTATACCATCAAGGATGACCTACTCTTCTTCAAAGGGTGCCTGGAAATCCCCGCAGATTCTGCTCATCTCAGGAAGCTCCTTGAATTATTCCATGCCTCACCCACAGGTGGCCACTCCGGCATCCTACGAAAACAAAAACGCATTGCCACACAATTCCATTGGAAAGGCATGTGTACATCCATCCAGAACTTCATAGCCGAGTGTGCAGTATGCCAACAAAATAAGTCAGCCACTACAACACCAGCAGTCCTCTTGCAACCACTCCCAATCTCATCCCAAGTCTGTGATGATATATCAATGGATTTCATCACGGGATTGTTCGTTTCTGCCGATAAAACGGTTATCCTTGTGGTAGTGGATAGATTGACAAAATACAGTCATTTCCTACCTCTATCACACCCATTTACACCAGTCACAGTTGCTGAATTGTTCCTCCAGGAAATTGTGCGCCTTCATGGGCTCCCCAACTCAATTGTGTCTGACAGGGACCCTATTTTTATGAGCCGT